AGGATATGAGAAGGAAACCCAAGTGAGCTAAATGCCACTTCATATGCGTGTTATGCAAATAAAGTGTAACAAAATTAGGGAACTCCCATCAAAGACAATAACTTTGAGCTATCTTGTTTTGAATAATATTGATGAAGAAAGCAACAAATATATGGAGAGTATAATGTTTTGGTATATGTCTATTTTTCTTTTTTCGTCAACTAATCTAGTGCTAGGCTATTTTTTCTCTCTTGCGTAAAGTAATCTAATCATAGTGTATGTATCAATCTTATCTGCTTCCAGTTATGTAAGAAATCACCTGGGGTCTTGTCAATTACTGCTATATAATTTAACAGAAATAACGAATTAAAAAACCTGCAAACAATTTATCTTTGAAGAAATATCTGTCGATTTGAAGAGTAAGATTTAGCGTTTGTTCTTGCAAACTAAGCAGAAGAACCTACGGCTGGTGTAGGCACGAAAGCGACACTCCCTTTGCCTGTGACAGTTTGGAAAAATCAGGAATAAAAGCGGGGCACTTGTTCGGAGTCGTACAAAGAGTATTGAAACCTCCAAATTGTCCTTAAAATCTCCACACCGAACCCCTATTTGTACTCGAAAATAAGAGCCCCAAAATGGAGTTTGCAACCAAATAAAAAGAAAATGTGCAAGTTATCTGACAATTTATGAAGAGGAACTAGGCTACGGCGCTACGCACAGAAACGAATGCTTGCGGTAAGTATGTTATCAGAGGAATGAGACCTGCAAGAAAAGGATACATAAAGAGTTAATTGTTCAACCTTGTATATATTTGAGAAAACAAAGTGGCGATTTCTTGTTTGAAACATACAACCTTCAATAATAAGTAACCTACACAGCAATGAAGCACTTGTACTTTGAATCTCTCAATTTCTGGCTGGATTCAACCAGGAATTTTGCTACAAGATGTCAACAAAGCAGGTAGTTTTGATCAAATTTCAAAGTTTAGTCAAATATTTTCTATATAAATATTTTCAAAGTTTACATGTTCGATAAATAAATAAATTGTTTCCTTTAATATTCGCATGAGTTTTTGTGGAAATCCTGTACAAGGTCTAGATTTTAGTTGGTCCATTATGTTATTTTGTGATCAGGTCAATGATGGAGACTAAATAATGTTCTTAAAATTAATTTGACAACCAAATGATAATGTAATGGAATGAGTCCAGTTTTTCCAGAAACCATACGTCTTGTGGGGCTAAAGAAACCGAGAAACGAAATAAGAAATAATATTTTCTACTAAAATAAAATAACAATTAATCATGAAGATCTTAAAACTAGTTTATTATCTACTCTGCAGTACATGCATTCAGACATAACCCATACATAAGCTTGTACTACGGAAGTTATTGTTTTATTAATCTTTTTTTTGGGGGGGAATAATTGTTTTATTAATCTTATGACAATATTGACTTCCTCTTGTCTCCAATTGTTGCCCAATCTTAAAGTAACATGTAATCCACCTACGTTGTTGACTCCCATCTCCCCTTGAAATTGTTTATATACATAACTGGTCAAAGTCTTGAGCCTTCCTATTTACAAAAAAGAATATTGGTAGAAGGCCAAAGCTGTCTTTATGATTACGTGCTACACTTCTCAAGCATGTCCATGGGCATGATTATATTTACTTTTGATGCCAAGCAAAAATTTCAACCATTAGGGTGTGCATTTGGTCCCATGAAGATAAGGTAAAGGCCTGAAAATCCATTCCATCACTTCTTAGTAAAGAAGAAGGGCCCACCAACATCAAATTATATGAGATGGCAAGAGTTAATTAGGAGCCTTAATGCTTAACATTTGTCAAACATTCAAACTGACTGGAGTTAGGTTGTAGTAGTTGCATGAGAGTTTATCTCGAAACCATGCATTCAAGAGAAAAAAAAATTACCTTTCTTTGGACA